ATAGATAGATAGATAGATAGATAGATAGATAGATAGATAGATAGATAGATAGATAGATAGATAGATAGATCACTATACAACAATACAAGTTATGACGCAGGCTAAACAAGTTGAACATTGTTTATTACATCATAGTAATATTCTTAATCCTTTCAAACTTCAGGCAAAGGTGGAAATGACGACAGTTCCGAAAAATATCTTGTTGGAGTTACAGTGTTAGCAATTCTACTGGTCATTTCAGTCGTGATTAATATTGCAGCTTATTTCATTTATCAAATACGTAGACTCAAATCATCAAAGTGAAACCCGGAGAACAAGAGCAAGGACAGAAATAATTCAAAAGATATTTATGAAAATCCTGACAAAATCCAAGATGATGCGAATTATGAACAAGTGGAAAATGAACAGTCGAGGTATAAAGGTCTCGAAAAGACTGGGGAGGAAGAATATGATGATCACTTATATAGCCATCTAAATGAAGTACACAAGGACTACGTGAATCAGAAGGAAACTGGAATTTAAGGGGGGCTCTGGTCCGACTAAGCCAGTTTGGTTTATGTAGTATAGATAAGCTCAGTATAGAAAAACAATTAAGTTGGCACACATTTGTTAAATAACCAAACTGAATGTTTACGACTTGAATAGAAAAGTATCAATCAGTATTAATGACTTAGAATTAAGTCGTAAATCAACCCGTGGGTTGTAATGTTTTTAATTATTTTAAACTATCTATCTATCTATCTTAGACTGTTATCATCATACCCGAAATACATTAAATATAATCTATATAACCGTGTTTACATTGCAAACTAGGTATAGCCTGATCCTTGCTCTGGTCTACATTCTGGTAGAGTGAACAAACTTTGCGGTAGCCTAGGTATAATTACCCTCTTCAAATCTTGTTCAGTTTGACGTAATTCTATATCTTCCTATATTCATTATCATTTAATTTAAAGCCGGCATTTACTACAAGTCATGCGTTTTTATGCGTTCACTTTTCATCAAGAGTTTCAATGGTTTTTCATCTAAACATACAGTCAATTGTTTGGACTGATACGTTTTCAATGTTTAAGATGTTAAATTTTAAAAAAATTTGGAACTATCTCCATTTGGTTTATCAAGTGGAAAAGCTCAATATACAAAACAACTCAGTATAAATTTTTTAAATAACCAAACTGAACGTTTTTGACTTGAATAGAAAATTACGAATTCGAAGTAATTGTTAGACTGTCATCGTTATATCTGAAATGCATAATCTATCTATATAGCCATGTTTACATTGCACTTCGTGATTTAGGAATGTTTGACATTTGTTATTCATGGATTTCAAAAGCACCACAGACTTCCTGCTGAGTTTCAAGGAATATTTCTGTTATTTTGCTTCGGCTCATTGGTTCATATCTTCTTCCGCGTTCATAACGCGTACTTGAATTGAAGTGCTTCGATCCTCAACTAAAGATGTTTTCAAATTGTTTTCATTTTGTAATACTGACTGTAATTTTCCTGTTACTCCAAGGTACGTTTACTCTAGTTTATAACATGCATGTATATTTCATGTGCTTTCAAACACGCACTCACTTCCGTGATGAATAGAGACCTTACGATTTTAGGACGGCAACGGCTACTACCAATACAATAGATAATTGAAAAGAATTGAGTAATTACATTATACTAATATAATTTAAGACATTGTCCTCACTCTGTTTACAACGCCAAATCACATATTTTCACGTTTTGATACAACGGCTGCATTTCAAGCCGCAACAAGTGCAACTTCAAACTGGGTTTAGCAGAACTCTTCCCATCCTTAAAACCCATGTCTTCAACTTCTAAAACTGTATTAAATTCACACGCTTGATAATATACCACGAACTATCTTTACTACTCTTTATTTGAAGGAGTTTGTTTTGG